TTCTTTTTTATTAGTTTTTTTTTTCAAACAGTATAAAAATGCAAATTAAAGTCAGTAATTTTTTTGCTCTAACGTTTTTAAGCCTTATTTTAAACATGAAGTTTTGATAAACAAAGATAAAAACCAACTTTTCAACTTTTCGCTTTAACGACCTAGTAAAAATTTTCCACGCAGAGATTTAAAGTAATTTAAATTCAAAAATGTTTTACGTTGAAAGAAAATCTCCATGCGAAAGAGCAAATCATCTATTCATCTATCTATTCAGAATAATAAGTTTTGTGTGACGTTCTTTATGATAAAAACATTACATTTAAGAATTACTAAAAAAAATGCTAAGCTAGAAAAAAAGTAATTAATCAACCAAAAAAAAAACAAGTCGCGAAAAGAATTTTTTTTAAGAAAAAACTAATCACAAAAGTGTGTGTAGCAATCGCGATCGCGATACGCTTAATACGAGCCCTGTAAGACTTTTTTATAAGTTCTAAACTATTTAAAACTATTACTTAATAACTTTTTTTTTAAGACGTCTTTCTATTATACTGTTTTTGCAAAACTAATTAAAAAAACTTGATTAAAACTTAACTATTTAATCACGGCTTTTTTTTACGTGAAAATCGAAGTAGATATTCTAAAGTTGTTGTGACGTACTAACGTGATTTTTAACGACTAACAATCGAGTTTCAATGGTGAAAAAATAAAATCAAAATGGAGTTGTTTTTTAGTAATTTCGGCAACTGCTTTTTGTTAGCATGCATTTATTATTACAATTTAGTGAAAAAGAAAAAAAACTTACATATTTTTTTTTTATGCTCTTTCATATGAGATCATATGTTAGGAGCACTTAGGGATCCCTTTAACTAAAAGTGAAAAAGGTGCATTTTTACATATTTTTTAATAACAATTTTTTTCAGCAATATGATTTTCATAAAACGATTTTATAACTTTTGCTTCTTTTGAGTACCAGGTTGACCTACTTTTGAAAAACTTTTTTTTTCCAAAATATTAGGGTACCGGTAATTTTCCCAATAAAGTTGCGCCCTTTAAATCTATCACAATCATTCTCATATTTGATAGTATCAATATTAATAACTATTAGCAATGTTTAGAGCCTGTAACAAGAAAAAAATTTTTTTTGATCCACCCTACCTAACATATTGCCTGCTATCATGGAGTCAAAACTTAAGTATTGTAAATCGCCTATTTGTTATGCAAAAAAAGAAATCAGGATTATTGAATTTCTACCAAAAAAGTTCACATACATTCATATCTTCTATCGCACTACAAATTTTAAAAGTACATGATATAATTAAAATTGAAAATTGTTTATTTATTCACAGCTGCCTAAACAAAAAGCTGCCTTCTATATTTAATAAATGGTTTACTCTACACAGTTCAATCAGCTGTCAACTTACAAGAAATTCTTGTAAAGGTGCACTGAGTGTGCCAACATATAATACAAAATTCTATGGTAAACATTCCTTTAAATACTCTGCATTAATGGACTGGAATCAAATTCAAAATAAATTAAAGTTATTCCCTTTTAACAAAATTAAAAAATATGTCCTTAAAACCAAATTAAAATACTACTTGCTACATCAAGATTAATAGAAACAACAGTAGTATCGCTGGTGATAAATTATATATCACCGTAAAAGATGTATAAGTTATTCATATGAATGTTAACTAATTTCAACCTTCTGTGAGTGTATTATTTATTTCATTTTTATTTTATTATTATTATTTTTTTAAATTTGTTCATGGTCGCTCTCCTCAGTTTAGCCTAGCTATATGAGAGTGAAGTATTCCAAAATGTAGACTATATATATATTTTTTTTTATAACTTATAACATTCTTATGTAAAACATTTATATTTCTGGTAAATATATTGCTTTTTGTTGTTGTTGTTGTTGTATGTCAAAAAAATTGGGGGAGGGAAAGTTTGAGGATTTTTGACAATTGTAAACCTAAATAAATAACTTCTATAGCAAAAATATCAAGAATTATTAAGTAAGAAGCTTTCTAGGCTTCTAATTAGATTTTAAAAACTTTGAAGAAAAAAGTTCGTTTTTGTTTTAGTTTTAATCTCTATTTTTATCACAATTCTCTAAAGGAAATTTAATTCAGTAATTTAGTAACATTTTTATACTTTGTGAAAAGATTAGTAATGAAACCATAAACTCCCTTAAACTGGTTGTAGAAATTAGGTACAACATAGCCAAAACACCTTTTTATCAAGACAAATATGGTAACAATTGAGTATCCTAGCAGTCGGAAAGTCACGTGGTTATGCAAAATAACAATAGTGCAAGTTGTTACCATCTTGGATGGGGGAAAACAAATGATTAGTTGAGTTATTAAAGCAGGACAATTAGTACGAAAAAGTGATTAAAAGACTTTAAAAAAAGAAATATCGGTTTACGAATACTTTGAAAAGTTAGATTTTAACGCCGCAGAAAGGTATTTAAATAATTTTGCAATCCTTGGAATCAACCGATGTCTACACAAGTTCTTGCAAATACTTGGAAAGATGATCAAACTGAATGGCCATGAGTTCAATACCATGACGTTTATAATTATTTATTAAAAAGTCCTATAATGATTTCTTTTAAGGCTATAGGTAATTATGAAGCATTAAATGCTTATAAATATTTTGGCTTTGGCTAGATGCAGGAAGTTTTTCACAAGACATTATATTAGGTATATTAGGCTCTAGTTTTGTTGTTTTGAAAAATACAAGTTGTCTGACTTGTGCGTTTAAAACAACAAATCCATCTTAGTCACTAGAGTTGACTAAAAATAACAAAACCATCTTACAATATATATATATATATATATATATATATATATATATATATATATATATATATATATATATATATATATATATATATATATATATATATATATATATATATATATATATATATATGTATATATATATATATATATATATATATATATATATATATATATATATATATATATGTGTATGTATGTATATATATATATATATATATCAAAAATCATTTAAAAACATAACAACCCTTGTGCATTTTAAAGACTTTTATGTTATGCCATTGTTTTCGTTTCATAACGAAAGTTTATTTTCCCCTAACTAAAATGGTAGATGTTCGCGGCAAAGATAATGACGTATTTCCAACTGCGAGGATACAAGGTATTTAAAAATGTCACTTTTTAAATCGTAGGGCGGATGAGGCTGATAAAGATCAGTTATCAAACAATACGTAAGTATAAATACGTCAATAGGAAATTCCGTAGTACATTTTACAAAGAGACGCATTTCTTCTCCTCCCCCCTCCTTTTTTTTTATTGCTGATTATGATAGAGAATTTTATGCTGATTAGGAATCGTATAAAAATATAGGTCTGAAAATTAATAGAAAGTGCTCAAATTCGGTGTTGAAGTTTAAAAAATTACAGTAAAAAACGCTAATATTCGCCATTTTGTTAAAACGTTTTACGGCTGATGCTATTTGCACGGCTGCCGTGTTCCCATTCTAAAAAGGCTATTTGCACGGCCGCAAAACTAAATTGGTTTTTGATTCGCTTATTTGGTAAAGTCGCCGACTTCGTAAACTGAAGGTCGGAGGTTCGAGTCGTGCCTCTTCCTGAATACTTTTTGTTTTTTTACACACACATACAGCCGAATGTTAATAAAATAAAATAGTATTATCAGAATAAACTTATTGCAAAATTTGTGTTTTTAAAACATATAAAAGCACTGGATTTTAAAAATTAGTTTTTAATTTTACTTGTTCGCGTTTGTTTCGCGTTTTTTTTAGAATGGCAAAGAATTTTATGTAAATACCAAAGCTGTCATTATCTTTCAGATCTTCCTTTTCAGCTTTTAATTTGTTTTGTTGTACCTATTAATTAATAAGTTACCTATTTCAAATTTTGTCAATTTGACCGTGCATACACATTTTCTTAACTGTTTATACGGCAGCCGTGCCATATAAATAGTCTTTTTTAGAAGTTGTACACGGCGGCCGTGCCAATAGACACCCGACGGGCATTTATTTTTAAAAGTTACGATCTAAATGTATTTTAAATGTCTTTTAAACGTCTTTTAAACATTAATGTTTAAAAGACGTTTAAAAGACGTTTAAAACACATTTAGAACGTAACTTTTAATGAAAAGAGTCCCATATTTTTAAAATGAATTTTCTTGATTCTACAGATGGTAGGGAATGCAATGAAGCCAATCGTAGTTTCCAGCAATCTATTAAAAAACGTAATGTAATTAACTTTTAGGGTGATGGAGAAGCTACAATCGTTCAAGGAAGTTTATCCTTACACTCAAACGACTAAATTGATATGCGTTAGGCACTTCCAGAAGCGTATTGAAACCAAGAAGTTAAATAAAAACTCTTGAAGGACTTGGTGGCCTTAAAAGATTGACTGCAAAATTTCTTTGGTGTGGCAAATAGACGAAAGGCTGGTGATTTACTTGTTATAACTCAGCAGCGCTTGCCACTCATTTTCATGTGCATGAAAGTATTTTTCTAATAATCGTACTAATAATGAAGTTTTTTGAAAAAAAATGGTATTTGTTTTTCTTTTTAAATAGAATATTTTTTTAGCACAAAGTAATTAAATTACAGTTTTTTAAATATATTTTGTATTGAATAAATCTAACTTGATAACTGTTTTTTAATTATCGAAAATATTGATGAAAAAATAGAAAAACAATGAGTTTTTTTGACGGAGGTTTAAAATAATAAATATATTGTGACAAATGTTTTAATCTCTATACTCTAGCTGAAATTAATTACCCCCGTGTCCAAAATCAACGCAAATGTAAATAGTAAATAAAAACGCCAATATGTTGCAAGTAATGTGATAGGCAACTGCAACAAAAACTGAACTGTAATAAAATAAATTTATGACTTAATAGTGTGCTTGATAAAAACTAATATGTAATAAAAACATATTAAACATATAAATCAACTTTATACCTCAACAATAATCAAGTGTTACCTGCATCCTTTAGGGGAGAAATCATAGTAACCACTCTTGCATTGGTCACACTTATCACCAATAACACCAGAATGACAAACACACCGTCCTTCACTACTACAGCTAGATGTCCGAGAACCAACTTTATTACATCCACAAGGATGGCAAGCAATTTCACCATCTCTTCGATAATGGTTGTCTTTACATTTTTCACAATGAATACCAGCTGTATTTTTTTGGCAATTGATGCATCTTCCTCCTGACTGATAACTTGAATCAATCCATAGTTGCTCATCAAATACACACTCATCTGCCAGTCCATTGCAATCACAAGCTATATAGTAATGTAATAATAAAGTATAAAGTTTAGTATGATTAGAAATTAAAATTTAGTATATATTATTATTAATTGAAATTTAGTATATATTTACATTTATATTGCAATCAAACTGCACAAAATCAAAAATTGAATAATGTGACTTTCGGGTAGGAAATGTGACCACAACTTTCGGGTTGGAAATGTAACCATAACTTTCGGAGTAGGAAATGTGATCATAACTTTTAGGTAGGTAATCAGATAGCGACTAGTTACGTACTAAATAATCTCTTAACAGCTATAGTTCGGCATTAATTTTTGTTTTATTGTTAAATTTATTCTTGTTTTGCAAAAAAAAAACTTTTTTTTTAAAAAAAATGTTTTATCAAAAAGATTATTTAAACTTTTATCATATTGTTATAAGGCTTCATACCGTAACCATGTTGCTAGCCACATGCCGTACTTTAATAGTTAGCAACATCTTATTTATATAGTTACTTTATAGGTTTAATTTATAGCTTACTTGCTGTTAGTCGGAGGGTAACAACCTGTAAGCAACAGGTTATACTACTAAGCAATAGGTCTAGTTGTCAATTTTTCCGGCAATGTGGAACCTAGAGTTTTATTTTAATCAAAAATTATTGGCCAATGTCGGCAATGCCGCTTTTTATAAACCATTAAATATTATAATTTTATATGACGTTGATGTTTGTTGACCAATCAGTTAACATCTTTATTACATACACAAGTTAATTGCGACGTCAGCAAATACTGACGTCAGGAAAATTAGCTTCAACTCGATAATATTTTTGTGAAGTAAACTTATATTTTCTTTAAACAAATATAATAAGAATAAATATAGATTAACCATCAAAGAATAAATATGAGATACTTGAATGGCTTAAACGCCGTTGAATAAATATTTTTAAATTCCTATATTTTTATACAACTGACCTTGCAAATAAGTAATTGTTGAGAAATCAAGGTGAAATCTTTTCGCAACGAAAACAATGAGAAAATAATAAGGGTTTTTATTTTTATAAGTGACTCATTGAAAAGATGAAAGAATGACGATAGCATAATCGTATATAAAGTATTTATATATTGAAGTATTTTCATTAAAATCTATTACTTTATTTTAATGACTTTTAAGGTTCTTGAGTTTGCGGTTGACAGATTGAATCGCTTCTTTTTTCTTTAACTTTTTTTTTTCACTGTTAATAGCTAAAATTTTCTCCATAGGAAACATTTCCCGCAGTTTAGAAAACTTCTAAAATAAAAATGACAAATTTAAAACTACCTTTGCAAGGATTGGCTGAATCCTGCGCTGCTCTCCAAGGACGATCATTGAACAAAGGTAAACATTTTTCGCAATCCATACCAGCAGTATTGTGGTCGCACTCGCAATAAAGTTTACCTTGTAAATGAGCACACGTTGAAGCATGACCATGGCAATGGCAGCGACCTTAAAAGCAAAAAAACAAAAAAAAAGTTTATTAACTTGTAAATTTCAAAAATTTATTTGTTTATAAATTTAAAAATATTTGTAAATTTCAAAAGTTTTTATGATAGACTTTGATCATTTGTTCAATAAAACACTTTTCATATTCTCTTTAGTTATCTGGTAATTTTATCAATTTAAAAAATTTAATGCTATTATAAACAAGTACTTTTCATAGATAATATATAATAAAAAAAAAACGCACCTATTTGCTTTCAAACGCTGTTATTATTTCAAAAAACTTGCCATATATATATATATATATATATATATATATATATATATATATATATATATATATATATATATATATATATATATATATATATATATATATATATATATATATATATATATATATATATATATATATATATATATATATATATATATATATATATATTCCTACCTCCAACAGCAATATCAGAAACGGCAAAGTAGTAACTTTTTAATACTTTAGGATCTCCAAAAACCTCATCTCCAAATGTGTTTAACTGGTCTAAGTTTATTTTTAAGGCCGTCACTGTTACCCAATCTTGCAATTCTTTGTATTTGTCGAACTCACTTTTTCCTGGTCTGTTATCTAGTGTTAAAAAAGCAACGTTTCCGCCGGATAGAGGGATAAGACCACTGTATTCATCGGTGCATAATGCCACTTTTTGATTGCTTATTGATACTGTAGCCTTATTAGGTACTCCATATGTCTCCTCACAAGTTCTTGAATAATATTGATAAGGAACCCATTCTTCATTAGGATTATAGGTTGATTTCTTGTAAATAGAGAATGAATGTGGACGAATCGTGTGAAATCTTATTCTAATAAATGCCACGTGGTATTTTTTTTTTAAATCTAAAATCAAATGAACACCCTTTTTATTTTCTAAAAGTGTTTCAGATTGCCACCACGTAGGATTTTCTTCCAGTTTTATATCGGTCATGAGATTAGCTGGATGCCTCTGTCCAGGGTTCTTATCATCGCAATAGTCACAAATTTTCTTAGCTCCTGAGGTTCCTGTCTGAACGCAGTACTGTTCTGGTTTGTGCAAGCCGCATGTATTATTTGCTACAATATCTTTATCAAAAGCTATATTTTCAAATACAGGCATACAACGCTGACTAACTCCATCATCTCTTTTACATTGTATAGCTCGACCGTACTCTGGCTCAACATCTTGATTAAAAATATAAGAAACAAAGTTTAAAGAGATAAAAACAGACAAAAGACTAAAGTTCATTTTTAGCTTTTGTTTTATCTTCGGTCGAAGTAATAAAAAATAAAAACACAGCTTTGCAGTTTAACACAATGTGAAGATCAAAGTCACATACTTTTTAAAATTTCACAAAAATTTGTGGCGCCTATAAACTATTGCTTACTTTTAGCAACAAAATATAGCAATGACAAAGAATTTTAAAAATCATGAAGAATGACATGATCTATGTGAATCTAAGTTTGTTTGCACAGCGCAGTTACTTAGTCAGAAAAAGGATGTTGCGTTTAACCATAATATAAACAATGCACGATTATGATTTTTGAAAAATGTGTAAATCAATCTCGCTTACTCAGTTTTGCAATCTTGCCCATTAGAAAATTATTAGTGCTTGTTTTTCAATAGAAAATTTTTGTTTTCAAATAAAGACAAAGAAAGTTTAATATATTTAAATATAGTTAATAAAAAATCAAAAGTTTTTTTTTTTTTTATTGTTACTTATGCAGAATCGGAGTTTCTGTTTCTGAGCACATGTTATTTTTATTGGCTTCAGTTATACCTTTTTTGTTTAAATTAGTGGGTTAAATTAAACACTACTAAAGCTAAGCAGTAGCTCAATAAATAACCCTAATTTAGTTTGTCTTTCTTGTTCAAATTTTCCGTGAAAATTTAGTTTCATTATACAAATATCAAAATATTTCCTTTCAAACGGAGAACGAAAAATCCTAGCGGGTATATTAAATTATCTCTATGATGGAAAGGGCGGCTTACGTGACACACAGTGATTCTATTCATTTGCATTTCCTACGATAAAAACATAACAAAGCAAATATTATGATAATTTAATTTCTCATCGGCATAATAATTTCAATTTGTCAACCAAAACATGTAGGGTGCCGACGTATATTTGCTTTATTCGTCACCTTAATTGGATGCAATTGTTTACATGAAAAATAAAATATTTTGATGTGTAAAGTTTGACTACCGAATAAACCTTCAGTTTTAATAAATAATTTTTGAAATTACTTATCATAGTTTGAAGTTACTTATCATAATTAGATAAATTATAGCGGAATATGTTTATTATTGTGAGAAAATACTTTAGACGGAAAACGGAAGCAGCTTTCAATATCTAAGCTAATATTTAAAGTTAATCTATTGTATTTTGTGATGATTTTATTTATTAAAATTTAAATACAAAGCATAAGGGTTGGTACGATGGAGTCAGAAAAAAAAAAAGAAAAATGACTTACACTAATACGGTTTAAAATCTCAAAACGGAATATCTTTTTAACTTTGATAGACTTCGAAAGAAAACTAATATTTGTAATTAGATTTAATTAAATAATTTGGAATGGCTTGAATGCATCGGCCAATTCATTCTTTAAAACTTTATTTTTAGTTTAGTTAAGTTTTACAGAATGAATTAATTTATACATTTCAATCCATAAATATGCATGCCGTCCAAAGATTTCACATCAGCTAATTGTGATGGCTGTCAAAAAGTCTCACAATGTTTATGGTCATTACAAGAAAAAAAAAGTGAGAAAAATGTATTCAGGAACTTCAGATAAACTACTTTCCACTTTGCAATGATAAAATTCAGGTTCATTAATTCAATATCATTTTTGGTCGATTGTGAGATCGTCTAGCAGCCACTTTGCACAGAGCTTTCGCGTACCCAAATATTTATTTATGATATGTTCAATACGTCCATTTGATATCTATAATTATAACACTCTTTAACTCCGAAACACGAACCTGCACCCAATGGCGGATGAAGACTTCTTGGGGCCCGAGGCTATTTTTGTTTTTAGAGGCCTTTTTATGGGCCAGAGCCTAAAAATGACTAAAAAAAAAAAAAGTTATCAAAAATTTTTGGGGGCTCCTAAATTTGCGGTGCCTAGGGCTATAGCCTTCTAGCCCCTCTTGATCCGGCACTGCCTGCACCGAGAAACAATTTGAGCGCGGTACTCTCAAGAGCGTGGTAGGGATCGAACTCGGAACTTATTAAGCGAGTGTTCTACCACAATATTTTTAGTTCTACATTACTACAGTTTTACGTAGAGAAAAAATGAAAAGTAACAAGCAGTATCACTTTTAAAAAAGCCAAGCCATTTAGTGTGATGAGAATTAATGTCACCAATTAGTGTGATGAGAATTAATGTCACTAGTAACAATAATATTGGCTTTGAAATAATAACAAAGGGTTCGGTAAATTTAATTAGAAACACCATTGAAAAATTGCATTTTTGGAAAGAACAAGAAAGAAGATTATAAAAAATATTGAGTAAAGTGCTAAACAAAAGTATTCAAAAAGTTGATTCAAATCTGTTTTCATAACAAACAGATGAACTGATATGTAAGCATATACTCAAACCTCACGGAGTCTATGCAAATCAAAAAATAAAGGCCATTAACTCTTAGATCTGAAAATAAAACCTAATTAAAGTTAGTTTCACAAGGAACAAGAAGACCTAAAGAACTTTGCAAAAGGTAAGATTCAATTGATTAAGAGTTACTTCGAAGACAACAAATATTTGTAAGAATCAAAACTATTTGGTGGTAATGATTTTTTTTGTTTAATATTTTTTAGGCATTTTTGTTTTAAAATAATACAGAACTTGAATTCTTAGATAGTGCAAAGTTGTAATAAAAAGCTCCTTTTATGGCTTCAAAAATGCACACCCAAAAGCAAAACAATGGCACTTTCCATGTTCAAAATGGTACAATTATTACTCCGCATTTTACAGTTAGTGTAATATATATTTCTCTGTTCATATACAAATAAATACTTAAATTACAATGAAATTTTTACGTTACACAAAAAATATAAAATAAAAACAGACAGGGGCTTAAAAAAAATACGGATGTCACCACAATCTTTTTCATAGAGCCCCTTTAACAACTACGTTTAAAACCAGTTTAAAGCCACTATTTTTTTTTTTAAATACCTCTTATATATTAAAAACTCCATTGCAATATAAATATTAAAATCTTTAGTCAAACAACATTAAATAAACATGCTGCAGCATATCAAATATATATAGTTAATATTGTATTTTTGAGAAAAATTGATGTAAATATATCAGAAAATACTTTTAGAAACAAATTATTTTAATATTTATAGATAAATATTAGTATTTGAACCAAATTAGGTTTTGATATATCTAGGACATTCATGTATTTCATTACAGGGGAAAGGTTTTCTAATCTCTTTATATAGTAAATTAATTTATATGTGTGGTTTTGTAAGCTCTGTAACCTTTATGATTTAGTTTTGTGTGTGTTAGCCCAAATAATATTAGCGTAGGAGAGATTACAATGAACAAGACTGAAATAAAGCATTTTGTGCAATTTTTAATCAAGAAAGGCCCTAGATTTATTTAATACACTTATAATAGAAGATATTTTTGTTTCAATGAGATTAAAATGGTTTCTCCAAGATTCTTTTTTTTTTTTTTTTTTTTTTATTACATTTTAAGTTTACATTTGTCGTAATACAATACTTTAACAAATACAAACAAGGTTTCTGAAAGAAGATTGTATTGATCTTATCATCAGAACCTTTTACAAGCATTTAGCATAACTATTTACAATGTATATAATCTATATATAAAATAAACAGAAAAGTAAAACAAAAAGAGTCGTTACATAAAACGTATTTTACAATTAACATAAAACGTATTTTACAATTAACATAAAACGTATTTTACAATTAAAAAGTTCTAAATAAAGGTACATAATTACAATTAGAAGAACCTTGTTATGTCATCGGAAAATAAAATAAAATTTTTGAGTTTATGTTTGAAAATTGGAAAAGTGTAAAATATATCAAAATTTGGCAAAACAACTTTATTCCAAAGATATGGCGCACGATTAGCAATACGATACTGGTTAAACTTTGTTCGACAAAAAGTTTTATGCAAAAATTTATTATTTCTAAGAGTGTATTCATTTATTGGTTTTTCCCAAAAGAGAACTTTAAAGATAGGTAGGGATAAGTCATTTTCCCACAAATACATAAAGCATAAAACATTAAACACATTAAGTTCGTAAATATTAAGAATTTTCATTTCAATAACAAAAGGTTTGGAATGAGTGTATCGATCCGCAAAATTAATTAAACGGATCGCATGCTTCTGACGGCGGTAAAGACATTGTAACTTGCTTTTTTCTGTGCTTTCCCAAGCAATATTTGCATAATTTGAATAGGTATGAGTAAATGAGTAGTATAGTTGGGTTAAATCTTTTTTACATAGATATGTTCTGGATTTATATAAAATTCCAATGCTTTTAGAAATTTTTGTGCTAATATAGTCAATATGCGCTTTCCATGTGATGAAATCATCAAGAAAAACACCCAAAAACTTTGTGACATTGTGTCTTTTTATCACAGTATAATCAATAAAGATTTCTGGCAATTTTTGGGGTAAATAAAGTTTTTTTGCGATTGGATGGAAGAGAATCCATTTTGTTTTGTTACTGTTAAGAGTTAGCTTATTGCATTTAAACCATTTTGATATGTTTTTAAGTTCATCGTTCATACTAGAAAAGAGTTTGTAAATATCATTATTGGAAAAAAATAAGTTGGTGTCATCAGCAAACATTACACTCATTAAATTTGAGGCTTTATTTAGGTCGTTTATATAAATCAAGAACAACAGTGGTCCCAAAATGGAACCTTGGGGAACGCCACATGAAACATTTAGGAACTGATTTGGATAACAACTATTACTAAAAACAAATTGTTTACGGTTAGATAAATAACTTCGGAACCATTTAATAACTTTGTAATTTATTCCATAGTATTTCAGTTTTTGTATCAAAATTTTATGATCTACAGTATCGAACGCTTTCGATAGGTCGATAAAAACACCTAATGTAAATTTAGATTTTTCAAAAGAATTTGAAATTTCACGTACAAGTTGGATAATTGGATGTTCCGTCGAATTATTTTTTTTAAAACCAAACTGGTTGGCGTATAACAAATTATTAGAAAGGAGATAATTGTATAATCTATTATACATAATACGTTCTAGTATTTTTGAAAATGTGCAGAGGACGGAGATGGGACGATAATTACTGATATTTGTTTGATCTCCTTCTTTTAAAATTGTGGTAATTTTAGCAATTTTTAATTGATCCGGAAAAACTCCTTGGTGGATAGATGCTCCATAAACCTTAAAAAGTATAT